CATGAAGTCAAGTACCCATCATTACTTTTCCCTCAAACCTTGAAAATTTGACCCTACTAAAATATGTGATTTTACAGCAGTTTAAGGACCAGAGGAATTTTATATATACACATTTTGCTGTGTATATAAGGTCATTTGACATTAATTTTTGTAACTTCCTGCATCCTACAATGTAATATGACTTTTTGAGGACTGAAATTTGCATGTGAAAAAAAAACACAAAGAGGCTCATGGACCACAACACTCACTTGAGTAACTTGGCCCTACTATTCTTCACCAGAAATTTATAATATATTCGGGGGTCAACAATTTTAACGAGTCTGTGCCTGTGATAAGAAAGCCTTATATTTTCTCTTTCAAGAGTAATGAGCATTTCAAATAAATGTTTTTTGAAAAATAGGTCAAATGTCATGGGGTCAAAAGTCATAGTATATTTTGAAAGGGCTTGTCAAAGGTACATGTAATACAAAATAAGAAAGCACTTTATGATTATCTCTACTCATTCAAAATACTAATGTAATGCCAGTGCAGTCTGCATTTGAAACGGAAGACACTTATTTCCTGTTTATGTTCACCACAGTAGGAATGAAACTAACTCATTCAAAAGTTATGACCAGGGTTAAAAAAATTTTGTGACAGACTGGCAAACACATAAAAACAGATAAAATGTAATATCCCCACAACCATCATATATCCAAGCCGCTTAATACTATATATTATACTACACTTTCTGCTCCTCCTCCTATTGAAGATTAAAACTCTAAACTCAATATTTTTAAGACATGTTTATTTGAGAATCATGTATTTTAAAAACATTATTATGCATAAATGTATAAATAATAATAACATTTTACAGTAATCATAAAATTTTAGCACTGTTTCAGACATTAAAAAATCATAAAAGTTTAGCACTATTTCAGACATAAAAGATATCAAGGAGGCTGGGGGGGGGGGGGGGTCAACAAATTAATCAGAAATTAACCACCAGATTTAACTCATTTTTTTAGATACTGTATCTTGAGCTGTCAACTATTATTTAGCAAAGAAAAAATTAATACATTTTAGTTTTAAAAATTGATCATTTTTGTATATCTTTATATGGAGCTCTTCTTTTAAAGGAGATTAAAATAGTCTGAAAATGGCTGCCACACCCCAGCCTCATTAACAGATTCTTATCAATATGAAGTACCAACACAAGACATATCAGTCAAGTTAGACACTGAGTCACTGCACTATATGTCCATCACACGATGATTCACTAGATGATCAGGCTTCACAAAACACTAGATGATCAGGCTTCACAAAACACTAGATGATCAGGCTTCACAAAACACTAGATGATCAGGCTTCACAAAACACTAGATGATCATGGCCAGGCTTCACAAAACACTAGATGATCAGGGTTCACAAAACACTAGATGATCAGGGTTCACAAAACACTAGATGATCAGGGTTCACAAAACACTAGATGATCAGGGTTCAAAACACTAGATGATCAGGTTTCACAAAACACTAGATGATCAGGCATAACAAAACACTACATGATCAAGCACTCCTGTACAGCTCACAGAAACTCTGGGTGGTGAGGGGAGCCATCTCATCCATGTCGGTTGACCTTCCTGCACTAGTGGTGGAGGGGGGAAGTTCTGGCTGCTGGTCTAGCTGTTGGATGACATGGGCAGATAACTCTGTGACCTTCTTCCACTTGTTGGTGGAGACTTGTTGGTAGACCCTCTTGATGCCGTTGGCCACAGACTTCTTGGTGAGGTGGTGAATGGTTCTGGACTTGGAATCTTGTAGTGTAGAGTTGAGGGTCTGTTGACTCTGGCACTGGATGTAGGACTCTGTAGTAAAAAAATGGTCATAAGAAAACAAGCATCACATTTTAAGGATTGTAAAAACAATCTATGACAATATACACACTTTTTTATATATATTAACTGACATCTGATAAGATAGTTCAATTTCTTTCATATTTATAAATTAAGGGAAAAAAAACTTACCAAGAGCAGTTATTTGGGAGTTGCCCTTCTCGTGGGAGATGAGAAGATCCCTTAACTCTGTAGCATACTGCACCACCTGGGAGTCTGTCATACCAGCCATATCTGTAACTAGAAAATACAAAGTAGATAAACACAGAGTTAATAAGTATGTATTATACCAAGATGGCAGAGATTGTTTTTCTGAGATCAGCTGCTTGTTGATTTCTCTTTTGAAGAAATATTCAAAAAATCATCCATTTTATATACTTTCCAAAAAAACATTATGGTGCAGTTTGATTTCATTGGATGAATTTGTAAATTGCTCTAAACTTATTTTGATTGGTAGATTAAATAATCTATTTAAATTTGATTGGGTATGATTGCAGTTACATGCATCAATTATTAATTACTTTGATGTTTAATCATATTCACTTTGATATAGATAATGAATCAATTATTACCTGAATCAAAATAAAAATGTTTCTTTTGTAAATCCTTAATCATCAATTATTAATAAATTGATAGCTATACCTACTGTATAATTAGCTTGTTCAGTATTACATAGTGGTGCAATGCTATGACTTAATTGAGCTTGGCTACATTTAGCATAGCTAAGCCAGACTGTAACAGCTTGGGTTCTGTTTGCCCCTGTTTATTTTTTAGCTTCTTCCTGTAAAACACCATTTTTAAAAATAATAATACTTTTATGTACTTAATTAAAAAAAACATTAATAGTACATACAGTTACTATGAACAAGATTCATTCAAATTAATTGCAAGCATATTTTGTGTATTGCTATGGAAATATGAGTTTTGAATTCAGACATACTTTATAAAATTAATTCCTCCTCAAGAAGATTACAATACATAAAGAGCATCAATGGAAAATAAGTAAAGCAGATGAAAATATCATAATTATATACATGTGGAAGGGGGAATTGGGGGTCGACAAACGCATTTTCCAAGAACATAGTCAATAAATAATTTGTTTTACCTTTAATTTTATTTTTTTTACATACAGTTATTTTGTACTGCTTTCTGTGACGTAACCTCAGGTTGTTCACTGTTAAACACCAACGAATGAAAATGAGATTAAGATTTTTCTGTGATGTAAGCAGTCCAACATCTCATCGACCAGTCCAACTTCTCACTCAGCGGTCAAACATCAATTTTTTTATGCCAGCTGAGCAAAACATTAAAATTGTTAGACTTTTTTCATATAGATTTGTATAGGAACAAGTTTTTAAAGGTATAACAATGAACATTTAAGGATTCTGATCATTATAAAATCAGAATCTGCTTCCATTCTGATTTATATGCCTTTATTAATAACTTTCCTCATTTCTTGTATGGGAAATTCTCCATTTTCGATAAATACTATATGTACTGTATGAATTGTACATGTATTTTCTAAATATTTAAAAGATATCCCTCAGAATTCCAGGAAATTGGTTTTTGTTGTTTTGTAGGAAGCTGTGTAATCTTGACAAGAAGATGCTTTTTGCTACATAAGTGTTAAAAAGTCTAAATACAGTCTTCTAAGAAGAACAATTTTCTCTTGTTTATTTCTGAGATTATGGAATGTATTCAAAGCATACTTTTGCACATAATTTCACATACTTTACCTTTTTAATCTATTCTATGAAGTTTTACCATAATACCTTTTCTCCTAATTGTATCATGTTTTTTTTAATCATCTAAAGATGCAGTACAAGTATATACTGTGCTGCCATGATCATTGTAGTGACAAGTTGTTTCATGCAAGTTAAAACTTGCCATAATAGAAATCAGATCCTTTTGAAGCTTTAGTAGTATGTATATGACAGTGTGTGGTATCTCATTATTTTTTGTCATTCTAATCAAAATATTTGTCTCTTGGTAGTGAGGTTAGTTAATTGTCAATTCAGTCTACTGAATTATTACTGTATATACTCGCCTATAAGTCAGTTTTTTAGGAGTTAAATTTTTGTCAAAAACTCTGTGTCCGACTTTTAGGCAAGTCATAAAGAGATTGGTATTTTTCTGGACAGTGAAATGTTGCATTTTATATATGTTTCCAACAATAATTGATGAACAAGATCTCATTTATGCATTCAACGATTATACATAAGATACAAGTATATACTTATTTTAATAATTAAATATCCGCTTTATTTGGAGAAAGAAAATTATTTAAAACCAGGTTAAAGAAACAGTACTATTTTTGACATCAATCTTTGTAAATTTCCTACATCCTACAAAGAAATGTGACTTTTTGAAGACTGAAATTTGCATGTGAAAAAAACAACAACAAGAGGCTCATTGGCCACAACACTCAGGGGTAACTTTGGCACTACTTTTTTCACCAGATATTTATAATATACTATGCGGTCAAAGATTCAAGCAAGTCTGTGTCTGTGATAAGAGTGGCCTATTTTTTCTCCTTCGAGAGTAATGAGCAGTTCAAAATAATGTTTGAATAAATGTTTAATTTTTGAAAAGAATGTTACGGTTAGGGGTCTAATGATATAATATATTTGAAAAGGTTTTATCACAGGTAATGTACACGTGATATATGAAAGCCCTGTCACTTTTCATTCAAAAGTTACGACCAAGTTTTTATGACAGACTGGCAGACAGACAACCATAGGCCTGTTCAACGAGCTAATGTTCGCAAGTGCTCGCCAAAATTCCGTAATATGCCTCCAATAAAAATGTTTGCGAGTGCTTGCTCTGTTGAACAGGCCATTTTTGCAAAAGTGTGTGTGGGGGGAGGGGGGGGGATTTATGACAACATAAGAAATTTAATCATCCAAGGTGAAGTCTAATGCGAAGCTAATGGGATAACTCTCATATATCCAAGCCATTTTGAAGTATACTACAACTTCTAATTTTTATGCATCTCTTCCTACGAAAGATTAAAAAAATTTTTTTTTTTCAATGAAATGTTTATTTAATAATCATATATTTTACAAATATTATGCATAACTGTATGAATAATAAAAACATTCAACAGTAATCATAAAATTTTAGCACTATTTCAGACGTAAAAGAAATTAGCACATTCTTATGAAGCACCAACACAAAACATATCAGTCAAGTAAGACACTGAGTCACTGCACTACATGTTCATCACATGATTCATGGTCAAAAAACACTAGATGATCAGGCATCACAAAACACCGGATGATCAAGCATCACAAAACACTAGATGATGAGGCGTCACAAAACACTAGATGATCAGGCATCACAAAACATTAGATGATGAAGCCTCACAGAACACTAGATGATCAGGCGTCACAAAACACTAGATGATCAAGCACTCCTGTACAGCTCACAGAAACTCTGGGTGGTGAGGGGGGCCATCTCATCCATCTCGGTTGACCTTCCTGCACTAGTGGTGGAGGGGGGAAGTTCTGGCTGCTGGTCTAGCTGTTGGATGACATGGGCAGATAACTCTGTGACCTTCTTCCACTTGTTGTTGGAGACTTGTTGGTAGACCCTCTTGATGCCGTTGGCCACAGACTTCTTGGTGAGGTGGTGGATGGTTCTGGACTTGGAATCTTGTAGTGTAGATTGTAGGGTCTGCTGACTCTGGCGCTGGATGTAGGACTCTGGAACAAAAAGGATAGTCATTAAAAAACAAGCATTCCAGGAATCATATTGAATGTAATCTGAACAATCAAAAATTTTAACCAGACTATCAATAAAGAATATTAATTGCACTACTGATAAGTTAAAATACAATAGCTTCTACAATTAAAAAAAAAATTATATAATATGCTTTAAAATGAAAAAAAAAATCTTACCAAGAGCAGTTATCTGGGAGTTGACTTTCTCGTGGGAGATGAGAAGATCCCTTAACTCTGTAGCATACTGCACCACCTGGGAGTCTGTCATACCAGCCATATCTGTAACTAGAAAATACAAAGTAGATAAAGATAGAGAAAAAAAAATGTAATGTCAAGATGGCAAGGATCGATTGCTTTTCTGAGATCAACTGGTAGTTGTATTCTCTTTTGGTGAAAAATTCAGAATATCATCCATTTTATTTGCTTCCAAAAAACAACATTAAGTCACAGTGTTATTTCATTGGATGAATCTGTTAATTTCTCTAAAGTTATTTTCATTGGAAGATTAAATAATCTATTGAAATTTGATTGGTTATGATTGCAGTTACATGCATCAATTATTTTAAAATTACTTTGATGTTCAATCATGTTCACTTTGATATAGATAATGATTTAATTATTACCTGAATCAAAACGAATGTGTTTCTTTTGTTAATCATTTATCATCAATTATTAGTTAATTGATAGGTTAAGATTGGCTTGCTTAGTAGTCATAGTGGTTCAGCACTTTGATTTGAGCTTGGCTATAAATATGGCTTGGCTACATTTAGTATAGAGGAGTAAACTGTAAACAGCTTGGGTTCTGTTTGCCACCTTGTAAATTTTGCAAGGTTTAAACTGTACAAAACCTTATTATAACAGAAAATATAATTTTAGTTAAAAGCAACCTAGGACACAGTTACAGCGGAAAGAATACATTCAAATTCATACATACCTACCTACCTACCTTTTCCTTTTTTTGTCCTTGGACACATAAGGGCAAGGTCTAGACTTTTCTACTTCTCCCTCTCTTGAGCATTTCTCTCCAGTTCTCCCCATGTCAGTTTGTTGTCTCCCATTTCTTTCAGCACAGTCCTTTGTCAGAGGTGCTTTAACTGATGTGGTTTTCTTTCTCTTCTGGTGTCCATAGATGTGCAACTATGTTGATATGTTTTACTGGTTTTCTTATCACATGCCCTATCCAAATCATAAACAAGTTTATAATTGGAATATTTTGTGTATATTTATACCAAATTTATTTCATTTAATATAAAGATCATAAAAAATGAAATTGGTTATAATTTTATTTATGTGAGAGTAAATCTATTACAAATAACATATTTAATTACATTAAAAGAAAATGTTGATAATTGTCAATTGTTGAGAAAATTCACCAAAAAAGATAAAAGCCTGTTCACCTCATTTCATGATACTAGTACTAATAAGTTTTGAGAAAATAGAAATGATTGCCTTTATAAAAAGCTTCATCCTATAAATTTTTATGTTTTCCAGGTGGCAGCACCTTGTGTTCTGTTTATTGACGAGATTGATGCCATCACTCCGAAAAGAGAGACCGCGTCAAAAGACATGGAGAGACGAATTGTGGCCCAACTCCTCTCTTGTATGGATGGTGAGTATAACCCCAATACAAGACAATGATAATGTTTAGTATATAGATCTTCCACTGATTTAGTTTCTAAGATGGTAAACATATTGATTTTAGATTTGAACAAGAAGGAGGATGCCCATGTGCTGGTGATTGGATCAACAAACCGCCCGGATTCCCTGGATCCAGCCCTGCGCAGAGCCGGACGGTTTGATAAAGAGATCTGCCTGGGAATTCCAGATGAAAAAGCCAGGGGAAGGTAATTTTTGACTTCATACATAAAGAATGATAGGGGATGATTAGAATTTGTTAAACTGTTATATTTTACTTGATAAAATGTCTTCTTTATTATATAAAAGCTCCTGAAGTTAGTTACTATATATTGCAAGTGAGAAAGTATAAGTTAACTCTCAGAGTGATGGTTAAGTTGTATAGTTCTACCCAAAGGTCCTTTTGTTTGTAGAATCTTACAAGTACTGTGTCGTAATTTGACCTTGAGCCCAGATTTTAACCTTGAAAGTATTGCCAAGAATACCCCAGGTTATGTAGGAGCTGACCTCACTGCACTTACAAGGGAAGCTGCCATGTTAGCTGTTAATAGGTAAGTAAAAACTGATTTCTTTATCACCTAGCTTACACACTTTGAAAGAAACACATAATAGGGGGGATATTTGAAGTTTTGTCTTTAAGTTTCACTGAAATGATCTGCATAGGCATTTTGTAATTACATGTTCAAGTATTAAACTGTTTATGAAAATTCTTTTACCATCTTCTAGGCTGGTCGACACAATAATAAAGCATCACATGATTGCTCTTTGTGATTAAAATATAATGAAATAAAAACAGGGTCCTGTAATACTAGAATCTGAAATAAACACTGAAGATATAAACTAATAAACTTACATCTGTCTATACATGTATAATAAACACATTTGCAAATAAAATTATTGATAATATTTTTCAGAGTCTTTAAAAATCTGCAGCCCCATGCAAGCCATCTAAGACAGGCATATGACCAAGGACTCTCCTGTAGCTCTAGTACTGAGAGAGAGGTACCAGAAAACCAGAGGGGGAACACCAGTGAACCAGAAACCAGGTCTCCAGATCAACCAGAAATTTGTAAAGACACTGATAAGTCAGATTCCACAGAAACTAGTCACAAAGAAATGGTAGAGAAGAATAGAGATTTGTCTGTACCTGAAAAAGACAATAATAGTGATAGTGTTAAAGACAGTATAGAAATTGATGTGAATACCAAGGGACATAACTCAGGAAGTGTTGACAAGGGAGAGAACTCAATTGACTGTTCACAAATTCCCTCCACATCACAAACCACAGAAAATCAACAAATAAACGTGCAGTCACACATAAACACCAGTCAGGAAGGAGAAGATCCGAAACTAGAATACTGTATGTATTGAAATCCTTTTAAGAGAAAAATCAAGTTGGACAAACAAATTAAGTTACAATGAAGATGTGTCATTTATTTTTTCAGTGTTACATCTACTGAAGAACCAGCCTCCTCTGACAGGAGAACAGCTCCAGGGAATGTCTATAACCATGCAGGACTTTGAGGTATTTAGGGGTGTTTTATCATAAGCTTACTGAATATAATTGTTTTTAACATTTTGATAAGAACAGACAATAGACTGATTCCATGTGTTTATTTTAGGAGGCCATTAAACATGTCCAGCCATCTGCTAAAAGAGAGGGATTTGCTACAATTCCTGATGTAACCTGGGACGATATTGGAGCTTTGAAAGAAGTTCGAGAAGATTTAGAACTGGCCATTCTTGTAAATAACTTTATATTCTCTTATAATTACTGTTTTTTCAAATGAATCTTGAAGCATGTCTGGTTTATCATTGGCTGTCTTCAGAAATTTATTGTGTTGTTCCATCTCGTAGATGGAAAAGCTTGTCTATGAGATTGATCCACTCAATATATTTTTGTAGCCGGTAACAAATCTGACCAGAGATTTTTTTTTTTGAGGATAATAGTGTGACATATGAACACAAGACGTGAGGATCAAATGTTTTTGACAAAAATTAATTCTGTAAAGTGTCCAATCTTCTCAACCCTTGATTCCAAAGTCAAACAAAACTCTTCAAAATCTTATAATAAGAGTTTACAGACAAATTATCTTGAAACATCTGCAAGGCACCCTAATTGTTTTACTTTCAATATTTTGTTCCTGTTTTATTACAATCATTTTCCCCTGTTAGTGAATCTCAATGCTATTATCTCTTGTAGCAAAGATAGAATCAAGCTGATTTCATTTCTTAAAAGGGCTGCTACTTTAATTTCAAAATCAAAATTAGTAAGGAAATCTGTTTCCATTAATTTATAATTCCTAATAAATTTATCAATTGGCAATTTTCAGTCATATTGCCTAATAAAAAAATTCTCACATGTGGGACATGAAAATAAAGCAGTCAGTAGCTGTCATGTTTATAGACCAATGAAAGCATGATGTTTCTATCTGATTGAAAATAAAATTATATTCGCACCAAGTTCAGTTGTTTATGGTGTATATACAATCCTAGTGTATATCAATATATAGAGTGAACTGGTTGCTAATGCTAATTTGTATTACATGTACTGATATATTTCATTTGAAAGAATTTACTCCAATATTTATTTACCAGGCACCTGTTCGGTATGCTGACCAATTCAAAAGTCTGGGAATTAACCGAGCTCAGGGAATTTTACTGTCAGGACCCCCCGGCTGTGGCAAGACTATGTTGGCAAAAGTATGGCAAACATTAAAAGTTGAATCGGTTTAAAAGAGAGTACAACATGAATTAAAGATTTACAGAGGGATCTGAATTCTGTTTAATAAATAAATTACATAACTGTGATTGATGTACATTTCTTAAGATTACCAATGGATTGATTAAGGTTGTGCTTATTTTCAGGCTGTTGCAAATGAATCGGGAATAAATTTTATTTCTGTGAAAGGACCTGAACTTCTGAATATGGTAAAATTTTTATTGATTACATATTTTGATCAATGAACTCAGTGCTGTCAGATTTAGGAAATGTAAAACACCTGGTGCAATAAAAGACATAGAATATGCATAATAGTTTGTGCATCATAAGTTTTAAATTATACATGATTTACTCATTAAAGTGAAGTTGTGCAAAATTGTTAAACAAAAAGGAAAAAAACACTCTTTTTGGAATGAATTCTATGCTATTGTTCCAAACCACTTGGAATACTTGGATTCATAATATTATTGAACAGAACAAATTGTAAAAAAAAGAAAAAAAAACTGCTATAAGGAGGTCACTGGAACCTTGAAATTGAAAATAGAAACACAGCAAGAGAACATTTCTAGTCATCCATGTGAACTTGGCATCTCAATAGCAGCAGTTTATTGTTAATGTCAAGAGTTGTGTCCCTTTCAGTATGTAGGTGAGAGTGAGCGAGCTGTTAGACAGGTTTTCCAGAGGGCCAGGAACTCAGCACCTTGTGTCATCTTCTTTGATGAATTAGATGCCCTCTGTCCTAAACGCTCTGATGGAGGGGAGGTAACTTGTTCTACATTACTAATCATTTACTTCTAGTTGTGTTTTAAAGTGATATGCTGTAAAGGAAATATATGCATAAGTATTGGATTTAAAATTCATTACTGTTTTCTGTAGAGTGGCTCCAGTGTTCGTGTGGTGAACCAGCTTCTGACAGAGATGGATGGGTTGGAGGAGAGAAAGCAAGTGTTTATTATGGGAGCCACCAACAGACCAGGTTAACATGCAAATTTTAGGACATTTTATTTTTTATCAGTATTCTGCTTTTCTAAAATGGAAATATTCCCAGCAGTTTCTTAGCACAAAGTATTTACTGAGTATGGTAAAAAAAACAAGAGGAGCAATATATTTGAAATACTGAGGATGTTTGATATATTTCTTATTAGAATTTTGAAGTCAGACCAATATATAAAGCTATCTAATCTCTTCAAAACAGATATCATAGATCCAGCCATACTAAGACCTGGTCGGCTAGACAAAATTCTTTTTGTGGGACTACCTTCAGCAGACGACAGGGAAGATATACTGAAAACAATCACCAAGGTAACACAGTTTTCAGGAACTTATTCCAGTTTAAGTTAAAATATATTATTAAGCATTTAATAAAAACAGAAATTCTTATAAGTATAAATTTTGAATTAGGGAGGAACCAGACCTTTATTGGCAGAAGACGTGAATTTAAAAGAGGTAGCAAACAACCTGAAGTGTGAATGTTATACGTAAGTTTTCATTTTTGAAATTCTATCAGATCACACAGATTTAAGATTGCTTATGTGAAGTCATACTATATCTATTGAACTCTACAATTTCAAATTTTTGTACACATATGTTGAACTTATCTACTTTGAACTTATCTTACAATTTGAGAGTACATGTAGCTGAAAAGATTCTTTGCATTTCCAGAGGAGCAGATTTAGCAGCTTTGGTGAGGGAAGCATCCATATGTGCCTTAAGAACTGTAATGAAGAGTTCCCATAAAGGGGGACAACCTGTCACAGTCAGAAAAGCACATTTTGATGAAGCTTTTGTTCGTGTCAAACCTTCTGTCCAGGAAAAGGTAAATATGGTGGCACAAACCAAACTTTAATCCACTAATTGTCAAAGATAAACCAGCCTTTCAGATATTATTGTCTACTGCTATCCGAATGTAGTTGCAGTTTGATTTTTATTACTCCATATATAATTTTACAAAGAAATTTTCAACTATAAAGATATGTCTATTCTTGATGCTGCTTTAATAAATATTTTAGTTGGTATTTATTTTTTTTAAAGATTTTTTTTTACTGTTTTCTTTCTGAAAAGGAGATCACAGATGTGCATTATTTTGATTTTAATTAGTTAAAATCTTTTATTTCCCTGAACTTCCTTTTACTGTATTTTGATTTTTTTCCCTTTTATTTCAGGAAAGAGAGAAGTATACTAAAATGCAGCTAAATTTAAGACACTGAGTGTATCTAAGCCAGTGAGAGGATAATATGGTCAAACTGAAGATGTATAGATTGCATATAAATCTCCCTATTTTGAGAAGAATTATTAATGTGTTTATTTTTAATGATTTATACATAACATCCCAATTGGAATGAGAAGTTGAACTTCAAGTATGTACAAAACCTTTTCCCTCAGAGGATAGGTAGCATTTTTATCAAAATGCCTTGAAGACAGTTAAGTTTTAGGAAACAGAGCACTTGATATTTTGAATAATATGAAACTGATAACTCTAACTTGATTGAGCAAATGAATAATAGCTTTTGAAATCAAAGATACTACACAAATTCAGAATACCTAGTATTGTTAAAGATTTTTTTTAGAGTTCATATCAATGTTTGAGATGAAGTTCAATTGTACAATAATTCTGTTTAAAAAAATTAGGTATGTCAAACAGTATGTCTAATGATAACCAACCATATTTTGTAAAATGTTGAAATCTTGTGAAATTTAGATATAGTTTTATCCAAGCATTTTATAAACAGAAGCTGCGAATAGTGTGTAAACATATATATGATTCTAATTCAGTATAGCTATTTTATTGTGTAATCATGCATTTTTTCAGGGTTGACTACAGAATGCATAAATAATGCATACAGCATAGCATAAGCCTATTTCACTTTGGTATTATATCATAAGTTTAAAAGTTTTTTCCTAGAAGATATTGAGAAATATCTCAAAGATAAAAGCATGGTATAGTTACACATTGTACTGTATTTATATATATATTATATGTAATTTGTTTTCATGTACAGTGTTTTCAATTAAAGTATTCTTAATTATGTAGTTCAGCATTCTTATGCAGGGGTGATTAGTACCCTTCTAATTCAAAAGTTACAACAAGTTAAAGTTTTTGTGTCAAAGAGACAGATTGATAGAAAAACAGAGATATGAGATTCAATGTCCCCATACTTTTACAAAACTAGGTAACAACATGAGAAGAATTCATAGTAGCTAATAGTGGCCAGCTTTCTAACATGACAAGCAAATTCAAGAATTGTGGTTCCCCGCTTTCGGTGTCTAAGTTGGTGTGATGCTATAATTCATGGCATATTGTATCAAATATAAATGCCCTATCATATGTCATTCCAAAGTAATCACCAAAGTTATTTTTTTAAATTAGGTCAAACATGAAGGATAAGGCCAAAGTTCAAAATTCATAGCTTGCCTCAAAAATCTTGTCTCATGCATTGCACAAGTCAAATATGAAAGCCCTACCTCTTTCCAATCAACAGGTTTTAGGAAAAACATTTTTGAAAAGTAGATCAAACATTGTGGTCAAGGCCACAGGGTCAAAAGTCATAGTATATTTTGAAATGTCTTGTCACAGGTAAAATGCATGTAGATGTATAATATGAAAGTCCTATCTTTTCTCTTGCAAGAGATACATGTATGACCAAATGTATTTTTTTAATAGTAAGTCAAGGTCAAGGTCACGGGTCCAAAAATCAAAGTAATTTTGGAAAGGTCATGTCACATTTACTGTACATGTGAAATATGAAAGGCTTATCTCCTCTCATTCAAAATTTATGACCAAGGATAAAGTTTTTGTCACAAACAGACAGACTGACAGAAGAATGAGATTCAATGTCCCCTCGCTTTCGCGAAAGCGGAGGACTAAGAGCTTTCACGAAGTACAAAGAATTACTCAGTGACAAGGAATGACTATATAATAAGCATGATAAGTTATACATGTTTATGCAGATGTCAACCCTGTAGCAGTGTAATATTCATCAGACAATGGAAAAAGAAGCATTTTATACAATGTATACATTGTTTGTATCTATGACAGCAGAAACTCTTCAAGGTACGTATTAGATGACAATAATAATACCCAGTCATCAAGCTAGACATTTAAAACGAATTGATAGAATGAACCACCTCAACAAGTACAAATGACAGGTGATCCTTGAAATCTGAGGATATCTTTATATCTGGGAGGCTCTGACAGAATTAAGTCTGCAGACTTCCAAACAGAGAGGGTACATTGATTTTATTAATCTACAAAGATCATTTAGTGATCTCGTGAGACTGGCCGCCATGTCTATTGGAAAAATGCCATGTGTTAAAGGCTACTGGGTGATCCTCTAGAAAAAACTTAAAGTTCATCAGGCCTTTTGAATGTTTTACTTTGCAAATTTAATGGATTAAACAACTGTTTTTCCCTTTAAACTACTTTGTGTGATGATCATCCTTTTAATTTTACAATGATGACCGACTAAATGATCATTCATAACATTTTCAAAAAATGTACATTCTTCTCAGTATATGAATGAATAAAGTAACAAATTTAAAGTTTTCAAGAAACTTTTAAGCAAGTGTCTCTTAAAGGAATCAATGCGCATCTTCCAAGAACGGAAGAACAATTTTTCACATATGTCACGAAGCATGAAGAGAATACATGCGTCAATAAAATAACAGAAAAAGATCATTTCATTTTGTTTCCGTTCGGATTTTTCCAGTACAAGTTTTTAGAATTTTCTACTTTCCCAGATGTATTGAATGGCCTGGTCAGCATTGGTTTAGTAGTCGGCGGCTGTTTCTTCCCGCGGTAATTCTGATCGCTTGGTGGTAGTATCGCCAGCACGTTCTGCTGCTCCTGTTGCGTGAGCACTGTCATTTCTAGTCTCTCTAGATTCTCCTGTAATATAGCCAGTGACGCCTGTTGAGTGTTCAACTGTTTCTGTTGCTGAGCCAGCAGCTGATGCGCGCTCTCTTTCTCAGAACCAAGTTTCATGATTTCCTCGTTCTGCTTGACCAACAAGTCCTCTAATTTTATCTGTCCGTCTGCTAACCTCTGGTGACCAGACGCTAAATGCTCGATCATGCTTAGTTTCTTGTTGATCACGTGCTCCTGGTTTGAGATCTGTAATTCTTGATCCTCGATTGTTCTTTTCAACTGACTTATCTGCTGACTTTTTTCATTTAAGTCTATTGGAAAAATGCATGTTTGAATTAGAAAAATCTTTCACGGACTTGAATGTTTTAATTGCAAATTTTCGATTAAACAACTTTGTAACTTTGTGACTCTTTCATGAAATCGATTGTTTGTCTCTTTCAATTTCCCCATGGCGTTTTGCAAGTCTCTATATTTTCTTTGCATGTCCGCAATTTCGTCGTCCTTGAAGCGTAGCTGCTGCAGAAGCTGTGCCTTCTCTTCCCTCTCGCGTATCAATGCGTCTTTAGCACTGTCCAAAGTTTTCATCACGTCTGCCAGTTGCTTCTCTAGTTCAGACTGTCTCTGTATGATTGTATTGAATTCTCTTTGGGAGGCTTTTGTATCCTTAGATAGTGTAGACAAAGACATTTTCACACCGACAATTGCTAGTTTCTCTTCTCGTTCACTAAAGGAAGTATTCAGAGGCGAACTACCATCCCATGGCATAGAAATATCCTATTGGTGAAAAGAAGAAGTTAAGGAGGCTGGGGGGTCAACAGATTAACCACAAATTAACGAACAGATTTAACTTATTTTTTTAGATACGGTATCTTAAGCTGTCAACTATCATTTGGCAAAGAAAAAATTCATACATTTTAGTTTTAAAATTTGATTATTTTTGTATATTTTTATATGGAGCTCTTCTTTTAAAGGAGATCGAAACAGTCTGAAAATGGCTGCCACCCCCCAGCCTCTTTAAAAACGAGAGTTTATACAGAAATTGCACATTATATTGTAACTCAAATTCTTAATCTGTATTTTACCTTTGCCGTTTTTTCATAAAAATCTTCGGAATTCAGAGTATCTGTAAATATAAAAAAAAAAAGGATTGTCATATAATCTATAACAACCTTTGTAAATAATATTCGGGAAAAGGTTGTCGTAAATAATAAGAACAGACGGTTAGCTGAACTGAACTTCTTAGAAAATGAATGAGTTTGAAATATTTTACTTTCATACATTTACTGATTGAGTCCGCGTCTTCTCTCTCAGTTCTCAAGTTTTCAACCACGTGATTGTACCCACAATCCTTTAGGACTTCACAGAATTGGTTATATCCGCTAGGGCATGACTTGAGGACCCGTTGTATGCACGTGTCTATTCTGTCTTTATATGTTCCCTGTTGCAGCACGTCGTCTTTATCCGAGGGAGTCAATACGCCTCGATCCTCTAGAGTGTCACAAACTATCTGGAGGTTTATCTCTTCATTCAGAGTTAAAAGGTACCTTTCAAAGATACATCATTGTAAATTCATGTACTTCAAATAAAAAATACACTTTTATTCATAGACATATCAAGCAATACAGTTGAATGAAATATAAATCACAAACCAGGAAAACAAATAATATCAAAAATTGCAAGCTAAGGCGATGATGACATTCAAATAATCTCCAAGAGATGGAGATAAACATTACAAAAATACCTCAGAAAACTCCATTTACCATCGAGAAGATAGGCCTGTTCTACATCGGGATTGAATGTGACTTTTCTCTGGTCTTTTGTTTCCATTCTGTTAATAAGGATATGGGTATGTATCAAGTGTGTTCGAGACTTTGATTCTGAATTCACACTTCCTCTAAAGATTGATAAAAGGTTGCGAAACAAAGAAACCTAATTTAAATAAATATGGTCTTTAAGACATCTTTTATAAATCTTTATTTTTTTTTTTGTTGTTGAAAGACCTAGCTGTTTCAGGCACAAAGCTTAAAGGAATATCGAAAAAGATACACAGATTTTACTTGTTTTATTTTTATCTTGCTAACTAATGAAAATACGTTGAAGCTCAGATTACACAAAATATAACTTTCCTAACAGTAGAATTGATAGATTTTTTGGAGATTAAATCTTACCTTTAATTAAGGAGATGAGCACCGCCACTACTTCTGGCTTTTTGAGCTCCGAGTGAAGATTGTAAGGACTGAGGAAGAGTTTGGCTTAGTTCCATTTTGTCTCTTTGCAATGATTTAGCATTTATTGTCCTGACGCTTCTATCTGAGACAAATGTTTTGTTGACAGAATTTAATTGTCTCAGACGTGATCTGTTTGGCATTTATTATTCTCTTCTTTATTTTCCAGTGCGAACCTTTTCTGATGAGAACTCTGATTTGACGTAATCAGGTTTTAGACAATGAGATAGGGTCCAATTTTAAATTTGAATCATCGCTGTAGTTTTTAACCTGGATATTTTTTATGTCAATAGGTTTGGGGGTTTAAAGACTTGTTATTTGAATTCACCATGATTTAAGACTTAGACATTAACAATATTAACTTTTCATAGAACAATGACAAATCAATTAATTTCTCTGAAGAAGTGGCCTAGAACAACAGAACCTTTAGTTAAGGTTCATGACTAGAGGTACTCAGTGTGAGCACTGAGCTCACTTAATGATATCTCCCCGCCTTCCATATGATTATAATGGCAAAATTCATGTATTGCACTGGGAGACCCGAATTAAGTGTTAGATCAAAAAGTAAAATAGAAGGCACACAATGGAATTATGATATCAAGAAATCTGTGAAAGTTTTAAATTTTATTCAGTGCTATAGGAGGAGTTGCCGATAAGAGATGTTATCCTTCAATATTATCGAAAGAATAGCAGTGGCCATGTTTTTGCTATGGAAAACCCAAAATATGTTTCCGATCAAAAAGTAAAATAGGATCGAGGTGCAAAATGGCCAGATTCTGTGGAATCTCATTAAAATTTCATTCAATGGTATAAGAGGAGTTGCGGATAAGAGATGGGTACCCCAAAGCGTAACAGACGGACATCCCGATCACTATATACCCTACTGTTTTTCAAGCGGGGATGTAAATTCCCGTGCACTTGCATGAATTGATAAATTTATTTTTTTCCTCTTAAAAGGCTTAATAATTTCTGAACAATTCTCGTAAAAAAAAAAGTTCCCTAATTCCCCTATTTATATTTTTCATGTCTTTGTTTCAATTTTCCTTTGCGTTTTTAATACCTCCCGCTTGATCGGGATGTCCGTCCGTCTGTCTGTTACGCTTTGGGATACCCATTTCTTATCCGCAAGTCCTCTCATACCACTAAATGAAATTTGATGAGACTTTCACAGAATCTTTATTACATATTGCCATCATGACCTCCTATTTTACTTTTTGATATATTTGGGGTTTCCCGTAGCAAAACATGGACACTGCTATTTTATTCATATAGGAATGGGAAGCGGGGGATATCATTTAGTGAGCTCATTGCTCACAGTACCTCTAGTTCAACATAGGTTACTGTTGCACTAGGAAGCATGTATGTGAAATAACAAAAATATTTTGGTCATGATTTCTATGAAACCTGACCCTAGCAACCAGTCAATTTTCCATGTGGATGGACAAAAAATATCACTTAGAACAATTCCCAGTTCAGCTTGGATTTACAGTAACGTTACATAATTAGCTTATGAAATTTACAAAGCTTTCCTTCACTCTTTAAATATACATAGAATAGAAATTCGGCCGAAAGTCAAATAGTGTAGCAAATAGCCTATTAAAAGTTCTCGCACGGCACAGGGGCGGAGCTTAAGTCGTCTCATCGTTGTCGACAGCAATTTAAAGTTCCTGATGTTATTAATTTTCTGACCAATGAGAATCTTTCCGAGGTTGCCTTACTAAAAGTCCAAGCTTACCTTAGAACTAGCTGTAATAATTTAAGGATTTGAAATGTTCAATGTTTGAAACTGCAATCCTTTTAATGTCTCTTTCTACTAGTATTTTGGAGAGGATTTGCAGAGGCTGTACTTGATGTTCAATCCAATCAGTTAATTGACTTTAAATAAAAAATACTGATTAAATTGTGAGAAAACTGTTTTCATCTAAAACATTTTAATAACGTCTATCCGAAAACTTTTTATTCATATTGAGAAACCACCACTTGCAGTCGAGGGCTGCAGATTTATAACTGCAATTGGTATAAAATTGGTATAAAATTTAAGACCTTTGAGTCAGTTCTTACTGGCAGTTACTGCGACCCGGGACCTGGTTTGAATGGCTTCGTCGAAAATGCAGCTAATAGACAAATAAATTGCCTTAAGCCAATGTGACCCCTCAACATGTTATTTTCGTAAAGCGTTTACTTCGTAAACTTTGTTTGCATGTGATGACGTACCAAAAAGAAAACTTCATGAACGCGATGACTTCAACTTTTCTATCGTCATTTAAAACTCCTCTTATCCTTATTAATGCAGTTAATGTCATTATCACCAGAAAAAGGAGTTGATGTTTCCCAATTGATTTGATACATAAGGCCATGCTCTACGTAAAAACGATTTCTGAGACGAGGCAACCTGTTGACAAATAAGCTGATTAAGCAAGGCTATGAAAAGTTTCGTTTAAAGTCAACATTTCACAAATTCTATAGAAGATACAACGGCCTTTCAGCCTTTTCAATCTTTTATTATATCGATTGTAAGCATACGTTATGCACCGAAAAATATCCCAAAGGCAACATGGGACAGAGAGAAGTAGCAGTAAAACTGAAACAATGGCACAAACATCTTCACTTTGTTGGGACATTAAAGCATTTCTTATTCCACAGCGCATCGCGTGCTATTTTAAAAATAAAATTTCTGCAAGTTGCGTAAATAATTGTTCATTATTATACCTGAATGTTCTTATTCTATATACATGTTATACTCAGTATTAATTCGTGACGATTTATATAAACCCTGGGCTAATTCACAAAAAGGATACAATAAAATTGATATATAGATTTAAATGCTATTATCGATGCTTTATTAAATGTTTTATTGACAATATAAGATGTAACATGATAATGAATGTCTAACAAAGATCACCTGTACCGCTGTCTTTGAAACAACCTTCAAGCTTCTGTGCACGTCTTCTGTGATCAAACTGTTCTAAAGGCATTGCGTTAACTTTAAAACGTGCAAATATAGAGTACAGGAATTTAAAAAAATAAAAATGTAAAGCACTGACTTAAAAAAAGATGGATGCCAGTAAATTGATACACTTTGCTGCCTCAAGTTTATATTTTCAAAAGCATATAGTCTTTAGATACAAAGGAGGCAGTTTTTCCATGTTCAGTCGAATAAACTACATATATTTGTTATTCCAATTGACTTCGTTTTCCATATGAGATAAACTCAAAACGACCATCCCTTTTCTTGGGTCTTCCCTCCGACACCGCCTCGTGGTGGAGGTGGTGTGAACTTCACGTTGGCGTGATGCGATCGATTCACGACCCCGCTCATCCAGGGCATGGCGCGGGGAGGAGATACAACCCGTGCATTCCGGCGACGCGGGGCACCGTACGATGTACCACGGGTCGAGGCGGGAGCGAGCTGCTCCAGCAATCGAAGACGCGCCTCCAAACGCTCCAAGCGGTCCTCGTCCTTTTTCTGCATTTCCTCCAGATGTGCAATCTTGTTATTCTGTTTTTCCTTTTCCTCGCGCAGTTCTGTGATTTGAATCTGCTGACGAGATCTTTCGCTGACGCCTTCATCATGAAGAACTTGAAGGTTTAGAATCTGAACCTTTTGTCTTTCGTTCTCGTCCTCAATATCTTTGATTTTCTGGAGTTGTTCATTCAGCTCCTGGTCTTTTTCTTCCAGCTCTTGTTTCTGTTGCTCTAACTTTTGTTTCAGTTTCTCTAATTCTTCAGCTTTCCTGTCGAGCTCTCCCTTAGTCTCAGTTTCGCATACGCCTTTGTCACGAAGTTTTTTGTTTTCAAGCTGAAGCTGAATGATTTGCTTTTGGAATGTGTTGAGTTTTTCAATAAGAGCCCGATTAGATTTTCGCAACCTCTCATTGTCTGCTTTCACTCTCTGCAGTTCATCCCAACTTGGATTCGTCTGTTTTGTTGTCTGAACTATTTTTTGGAAAAGTTCAGCAATTGTTGGTGCAATGCGCACAAGTTCAGTTTCCAAAAGTTTCAAGTCTACTCCGGACTCGTTCACACCTACATTTGCCATAACTGCCGCTGCAGCTTGCACGGAAGCGGCTGCTTGGACGGGATCAGCAGCAAACGACACATTAGTACTGGCGCGAGAAATGGAAGATGACTGTCTGCTGTTCATTGTATTTTGTCTGTCGGCAAGGAGGTTTGCAGATATTTCAGTATGGTTCTAAAGGAAGAAAATATACCTTAAAGATTTGACATTAGATAATAACTATTATTGTTTATAATTCTTTAAATTTCGAATAAAATTTGACCTGAAACAAATAGGTCTCCGATATTTGTATTATTTTGAAATACAGTACCTGGTCACAAGAACCTCCGGCGGCTGCAGGATCTGAAACACGTCATCGCAAATGAGCAAATATTAAAAATCTCAAATACAACATTTAATTCTCTTCTTTTACCTTTCATAATTACTTCTTTTAATTGTACAAATAAATGGCTGTTTTTTTTAAATTAATCTTTCAGCAAAAAAAAAAAAGAAAAAAAAATCAGCTAACCTTCAGTAACTGGTTCCTTATGAACAGCGATCTCCATTTTTTCGTTGATTTCCTCAAATCTTCCAGAAGACTCTTGGCGGAGGAAATGACAAAAAGTTTCATATCCCTTGTCTCCCGTTTCCAACAAAATATTAAGAAACCTCTCAGCCCGCATCAATTTCGTGTTCGGTTTAACGTTATTTATGTCCTTCTTGTTTTCTTCCGTATAAATCCCGGCCTCTATCATTTTGTCTGTTATTTCCAGAACCGGAAGTTCCTGTTTTAGGAACATCCAGTTCCGCCACAACTTTCGCTCGTTTTCCGGATTCATTTTCATCTTTTCTTCGTCATCTTCTTCGATTTTCTCTTTCTGAGCTTCATCTAGCTGATGTGTTGACTTCGACTTCTAAGATTCAAAATGGCTTCCACAATTCAAATTTGATTTGCCTTTGTGTCTTTGCATTGTTCCCAGTCATTTAAATTATATCTGTAATTTTATTCGTAAGATCAGAATTCTTCACGGTGATGAGCCTTCGTTGTTCAAATAATAAAGTTGGGGTCCCATAGGTCAAAGAAGGGGGTCGGATTACACAAATATCCAATAAATATTCCCGCTAGCGATTGTTACATATTGAGATTATTTTTATAAAATTAATAACTAGGCAGATAAATCTCTATTTCTGGCAATAACAACTCTGACTACAGAGGTAACCTGTACGACAACGATACCAAACTCATTAATACTTCAACCGATCATGCATCAGAGGCGGGTTCGGATTTTGGTACACATGAAGAAGAGGGTATTTACAGTTTTAGGTTTACTGGTTTCCAAAGATTGCACATTTTCTGAAATCTTTGTTTGTCAGCTACATGAACATGATATTTAAATTTGTCATTTTATTTAATTTGAATACGACATCAATCATTTCTTTAATATTAAGCTATCAGCAAACTTTTAAAATGCTCATGTAAAAATAACGCAGGCAATTAAAGTTTTACACATAAACTTATTTCAGACTGAAAAAATCCCCATCAAAATGATATGTAATCTATTTTTAGGTTCTAGTCTTCCGAAATCATTTAAATAATTGCAGCTTATAGAATTACATGATTTAAGCCATGCGTTGCTTTTTGTTTAAGAGCCATTTCTGTGAATATGAAGAGAAAGGAAACATCCAACATATTGAATGTCAGCGTTAAAAATAATGCCAAAAGCAAAATTAACAAGGGAACCGCAAAGCGGAACATCCCCTGGCAAAAAAAGCATATCTATAAATCAAGGCAGCCCTCGACATCAATCTCGATGCAAATAACGTAACTTCCGTTACGTATACAAGGACAAACTAACCCACCCACACACACATACATGTACATAAAAGCCCCTCAAAAGAAATATGTTATCCACTTTCTCGCTGAGCAGACCAAATAAAGGCACATTTTAATGATTTTCGAAAAATCCACTTCTGCAATATCAATGTTTTAAAGCCATTGTATGAGTGTATGTGTGAAAGCTTATCGATACATATTAAAAAAGGGGCTGCGTTTAAAGGAAATGGATAAAACTGAAACGTCTCAGACTGTTTTTATGCATAGACATCGGAAGCATATTAAAAGTGCCCCCCCGCTCCCGGTTCTGACGAATATGGGCGCTTGAAATAGGAGAGTCTTCTGTAGTATGACAGAGTGTAGGGTGCTTGTACAAAGAAAATCAAAATAATGAAATGTTTTTATCTTTCCATTAACATCAAATAAACTTTTCTTTTTTAATGTATGACCCTCTCTTCAACGCAACATATCTGATGCTTTTGACAAAAGAAGTAAAGGAATTCTTAACTCAAATTTATCCTCACGATATTATTATATGCTCACATGTTCTGACTAGTTACTCACATAACTTAATGCAATAACTCTATGGATTGCTTAAAGTTCCTCTATTTGTCATTCTAAGCATGGTTACTTTTTCTTGAAGTCGCCATTCTGTAGATTACAGGGTGTTATATACCCTATTTCTCTGGCTGTAAGACGTCACTTCTACATTATCAACTTTCGCAAACAATTCAATAAATTAATGAAGAATAAATTAATGAAGAACGAGGGTATGAATTATTATTTTCCTGCACTACTGTGTCATAGCTCACGGTCCTATAGAAAATATTGCTTTCTTCACTCTAAAAAAAGTTTTACTATTAATTTTCAAAATAAGTATTTGCATTTAGAAAAACAATAAACATTAAGTAATACAATTAGTCAGAATAGTAAGTAAAAGGCAATCCTGCTTAGTAACTGCAATAATAAATAGTAAATACCAATAAAACAATTACTTGTCAATTCTTTTACTATTTATTATTATAATTACTGAAATAAGTATTAAAATAAGTATTAAGACTACTTATTTATATACTCAATTTATTACTCATTTCTAGTGATCAAATTTATATTTTTATTTCATAATTTTCTTAAATTAAGTAATTGGAATACTTATACAAGTTTGAACCATTTACTTATTTCATATACATGTGGGATTGAAACAAGTAATTCATTTACTCATAAAAGTATAAACCATTTACTTATTTCATGTACATGGGATTGAAACAAGTAACTACTCATGTTTAGTAAATCCTTATTACTTCATTAAGAGATAATATGCTTTCTTTTTACTAGGTTTTATGAATTATTACTAAGTAATTGTAAATCTGAAATTAATAATTTAATTATTAAAATCAAGAATATTATTACTTCAAGAGAATGCCAAGTAAATGAAATATTTATCATATTTACTAAAATCGACATTATTTCTTTGTAACTGTTTTATTATATTAAGCAATAAAACATTTAATTCCAATATCAAACGCCTTCTAAATAGAATAAGTTGTATATTTTTAAAGACCATTTTAAAAATGGTTGATAGTTTCAAGTACTTAATACAACATTTTAGTTAGTATAACTTTTTTTGACATGAAGAAATATTTAGAAGAAATATAACTCCTCATCACAGACAATTAATATGGAAGCCATTAAGAATTCAGTCCTGATAGTAATTAGACTACCATTTTTAAGTAATTATTTGTATTGCAACTGCTCTGAATTCTCCTTGATTCAGTAAATAAATTATTGTTTTAAGTAAATCAATTGAATGCAATTTAAACAAGATGTGCTTGTGAAATACTGACCCCCCCCCATATGGCAACACAGCAAAGGTTTAACTTTTCTTATATACAAATTCAATATATTGGTATTTCTTGATCTCTCAAAGGTCAAGGTCAAATGGTCAATGTTATTGGTATCTAATGAAAGGTCCTGCCATAAAAGATTCATATCTGAAATAAGAAAGCACTATCCCCAACCCTTCAGAAGTTATGGTGAAGTTTACTAACTTTGAAATGTAGATCAAACTCCAAGGTCAAGGACAAAGGGTAAGATTTGATGGCAAACCCAAAGAAAGGTCTTGTCACAAGGATGAAATATGTAAAGTATGAATGCACTAAATCCAACCTTTGTAAAGTTAAAGTCAAGGTCTGCTTTTTAAAAGTAGGTCAAACTCTAAGGTTAATGTCAAAGGATCAAAGTTCTTGGTATCTAATGAATGGTCTTCTCACAGGAATTATATTTATATAAGTATGAAAGCCCTATCTCTTATCGTTCAAAAGTAATGGCCAAGGTTAACAGTTTTTTTTCACAAGGATTGAAATCTCCAAGGTCAAGGGCAAATGGCCTAAACGCCAAAGCCCCAAGAAACTCCCTGCATAAGATCATCAACTGCATTATAATTGCTCAATTTATTTTATGCATAAAATCATAAAGCTGCACATACTTAACATTACGGCAGGAAATATATGTATAAAGCACTTGACGTTTTCGGGACATGCATCCTAATATTCCTTACGACAAAAGAATAAAGTTGATGCATGTACCGGTAAACACGGTATATATTAATTTATTTATAATTACAAACTTATTTGCATAATTTATCATTGCAGAATTCCTCAGAAACTTAAAATTAGACAATGCTTAAGTAATTGACATGTATAAGTAACTCTTTTAATTATATTTAGTAAGTGTTAATTACTTATCTAAACAAAATTCAGTAAAGAGGAAATACAAAGTAAATCAATTCTTTAAAATACAAAAATCAAGTAAAACATTTCAATCTAGTAATTTACATATGTTTCAGTAATTGATTTAAATTTTTAAGTAAAGGCTTAGTAATTATCTATTACTTATCTTTGTTATTTCAAGTAAAAAATGACTACTAAGTAAAACTTTTTTAAGAGTGTTTTAATCTGTTTTAAAACTTTTAAAGCATTTTTGATTTGTAAAAAAACTAAAATTGTTGTTTTTCAATACTTAATATAAAAATACTCATCATAAATGTATGTGACATGAAAATTATGATTGATGAACGATATGAATTAATGGCAAATAAAAACTCTGAAGTTCTGAAAGCAAGACTTGAAGTCATTTATTTCATAAACATGAATTCATCGATAAAAAGAAAATAACAAATACAGTAAAATCATGAAAACAAAGGAAAGAGTCAAAATTTTGTTTGGAAAATTAATATCCATCGAAATTTTACATTGATGAAAGCACAAAAGCAAAAAAATACAAAGAGATGGAATATCCAAAAAAAATTGCCATTTATTACAACAGATAACATGGATAATGCTGAAATATTTATATGCTACCGTGCTGATGACTTTTAATATTAGAAGTCTTCAAGTGATTTCGCTATTGTACATCTGACCTAAGAGCCGTTTGGTTGTCCTGAATTTGGGATCGCGAGTTTTGATGCCTTTATTCTTGTTGACGGGAGCTTCCTCTATCTGCTTCAATCTTTCTTCAAGCCTTCTCAGACGTTCATCGCCCTGCCTCTGTTTTAGCTCCAGCTGACGAATCTGCTCCTGTTGTTTTAATCTATCGTCTTTCAATATGGCGATTTCCTCTTGTTGCCGTTCGTTTTCTTGTTGGCCTTCTTCGTGTAGTATCTCTAGTTTCGTGATCTGCCTTTTCTGTCGTATGATGTCCTTTTCGATTTCCTTTATTTTCATGAGCTGGATGTTAAGCTCCATCTCCTTCTCTTCCAAGGCATTTTTCTGCTCCTCCAATCTCCGTTCCATATCTTGCAGTTCTCTTGCCTTACGTACCAATTCTTCTTTAGCCTCTTTCGCTCCCTCTCCATTCTCTCTTAAATTTTTATTTTCCAACTGCAATTGAATGATTTTCTGTTGAAAATTGTTAAGCTTTTCTATCAAAGCTCGATTAGTTTTGCGCAGTCTTTCGTTTTCATCCTTGACCTTACGGATTTCTTCCTCGCTGACTGGTATGTTAGATGATGTTGTTTTCGAAATCTTCTGGAATAGCTCAGCAATGGTTGGTGCAATGCGGACGAGTTCTTGCTCCAAGATATTCATATCGACTGATAAACTTTTCT